CCGCCCCTGCCTGATTTTGATGCAGCCGGCCTGTTCCGCTCAAGCAGGGAACCAGGGAATACCAGCTATTCCCCAGCAGGTAACCTGCAAAACACACAGGAGACCTATGCAGTTTGATGATGTGCCCCATTTGGTACATTTACTATGCCACTCGTTACCCAGTTATCTTAAAATCGCACACAACACAATCCATTTGGTAAATTTACTACGCCACTCGTTAACCCAGTTATCTTAAAATCGCACACAACACAAGCCAGATGAAGGTAGAATGAAAACGTGTTTATTCATAACATCCAAATCAGGCAGCACACATTCAGATGTTTATAGAAAAGACAGGTGCAGAAGTAAGGAAAAACACCTCAGTCTACCCCTGGGGTAAAACAGTCAGGTCTCTTGCTTGCTGGCTTCTCCTTATCAACCAGTAATCACTTTTTGTGTGTCTCATCTCTCCAGTTCACTGTCCCTCAGCCACTGAGAGTTTGCTACAGTCCGAGAACGCAGCTCGGAGCTTTCCTGCTGCTCTGCAGAACCACCAGCTAATTTCCCTTTGAAATATTCTGAGGGGAGGGGATGTGCTGAATACCTTGATGTGTTGATACCTTGAAAACCATCCCGTTTCTTCCTTAGCCTTGAATGCTTTTCTCTTCCGTTTCAGATTTAATCTGTAATCCTATTTTAGCAACTTTCCCTCAACTCATGGATCAACCAGACCTGATGGATGCACTTCGGGTATTTTATCTACGTCACGTTCGATTCCATCCGATGTGTCAGGTTTTCCAGATATCTTGCAAAATTTGACCTTTTTAATCCTGTGAAAAGATAAATGGAAAAGCCAAATAGGGTTGGCCTTTTTTCCCTCTGTATTTTTCCATAATTGTAGGGTGGGGAAAAAAAATAAAAATAAATCAATCTCGGTTCTGATTGATTTTTCTGAGCAGTGGATCCCCTTGATTTTATTTATATGACTCTGAGTTTCAAATCTCCCAATCCTTACATCTGTAGAATTTGGTGGAATGGCTGTTTGCTTAAATTGACCGAATGGGCACAAGGTAGGAATGGAGAGCGTGGGGAAAGTGGGACTGCAACAGGAGCTTAAACTATGGTGGGATTGCAGCGAGAGGTTTTTGCAGCTAAAAATGCAATTGCTTTAGATCTCTACAATCTCAGTCTGATTTTACATTTCATTTCATTTCAGAGCGCTTGGGCAGATCGAGAAAGAACGCTGAAGAGATCCGAGAAGGTAATAAATTACAGATTTTTCTCTGACATTTATTCAATCTAATTTGAACTAGCAGCTTTCCATCAGCATTATTGGGAGTTAACTTTTCCTCTCACAATACATTTATTTAGAAAATGGAGATATGCTAGATGCAGCTCTTAACATTTCTAACCCATATTTATAACAGTAAACTAGGAGAAGGAATATGAAATTGAAATGAATTTGTAACTTTTTGTCTCATTGTTTGTGTGTGGCTGGTAGTAGGGAAGCTGTTACAGGTTCATACCCAAAGTCTGGCTCCCTTTCATGATGTGCTTCCAATACTTGACTGGTGGAAGCTTTCCACTGGTACAAAAGGGGCTGTGTATGTCCACAAAATAATCTTGCCTGCTTCAACCTCTGAGCTCCAGTCCTCCCACGGTTTGCCTGGAAAAAGGCACCCAAATTCTGCAAACCTCCCTGCCCCAGACAGTTGTAATCTCCCATTTTGGCGTGTAGACAGCTGGAAAAGACGTACCTTATCCTACCTCCTGTCCCCTGGACCATGAGGAGCTGTAGGTAACTCAGTGAGAAAGGCATTGGCTCTTGATCCAGGACACTTCACTTGGGAGCAGCAGCAGGATATTTCATTCATTGCGCGTGCTGCCGAACAGATCTCTCTGTTTATGCAAGCAAAACAAAACGCCGTTGAGTCAGAATCGCTTTTTCAAGGCCATTCATCCAAAACCAAAGCTGATCTGCTCAAAGAATTAGTAACTCCTCAGTATCCCAGAACCATCCAGTTTTACCTGATTTGCCGTGTGCCACTCCCATGGCAGGATTGCTGCCTGGTGAATTCTCACTCCTCGCATGGTTATATGACACTTGACTGGTAAATCTCCTGCTGAGACGGGAGCTCTTCAACGCCAGTCATAGCACTCACGTTTCTGGAAGACTCCCAGTGGTCAGTGAGTTTTCCAGGAGGCAACACCTTGCGTGAAGGGGTTTTTCTAGTGCACGTGTGGAAAACGAGGCGCACAAACCTTGGAAGCAGTTGGGATCTTTCAGTGTTTGGTAATCGACCAGGCTGATTCGTAGCCTTTGGGTTTGGCAAACTGCTCTTCACAGAGGAGAGCGTTAATTCTGGCCACACGCTGCCGTTTGGAAAAGTAGGTGGGTTGGAGGGGAGGCTTGTTGATCGATGGTTTATAGAGTGGAGTTCCTGGTGGTGAGTTTAAGGCTCATCCGAGCTAACTGGTGTTTGTTTAGGAAGGTCAAATCTCTTCAAGTTGTTATCCTGGGAACTGGGGGTTAGTTGAATGCTTTCTTGTCTGTTTTTTTTTCCCCGCGTGCAATACTTCTGGAGAAGTGTTTGACAACACCACGTCTTTGCACTGAAGTATTTTCAAAATACTCTTCTCTGCAGAGAGATCAAGAATTTCTGAAGTCTCTGTTTGTCCTGGTGTACCACGACTCTGTCTTCCCTCTCCTCCAGTCCACTCTCCTCCCTGACTACAAATGGGCTGAGGAAGAGTCTGAGGCATCTCACTGGCAGGTGATTGCTGAATTTTTGAAAAAAAGCCAAGAGAATGATGGTGCGCTTCAGTATCTGCTGTCATCAGAAAACACTCACAAAGCCTTTGATATCTCAGAGCTGACTTACGATTTCTTAGGAGAAGTGAGGAAAAACAATCCTGGAGTATGAATGGATTACAGAAGAACAATACAGGCTACCCCAGAATGGGCTAACAATATAAATAAATTCTTACCAAAAAGAAACTGTGTACTATCTGAATTGTAATGAGGATTTTAACATATTTAACATTTTGCAAGACTAAAATTATTTTATCAATTTAACTAACAGAAATGATATTTTAAATTTTCCCTTTTGCAATGTTAGAGAAGGCTAAGGTTGTCTCTTGCTACCTGATGTACCTCTTGTAGCCATGTCATGTCGTAGATTGTCTAAGCTAAGCAAGTGTTGAGGCAGCACTTTTCTCCTCTCATGCAGCTTCCAATGGATTTCCAGTTTTGTTTTCATCAGGGTGAACAAAAGACTCTCTGTCCTGGTACCCCAGTAGACTGGTGACAGGCAAGGAAAATAGCAACGATCTTTAAGAATGCTGCTGAGCAAGGTCAGCCAGGTTGGGGAAAATCATCATCTCTTCTCCAATCAGCGGACAGCAGGTTGCTCTGTATTTAGACTGTTTCACAGTTTTTCTTTCCCACTCAGGAAAAGGTTGGGTTATTCATAGGAATGTGCTTGACCCACCTAATACAAATAAAAGGTGGTGAGAATTCCAGGCATGCAGTGCTTCCCTGTGCATGGCCACGCCATATGGCAGCTCCCTCTGTGCTGGCTAACGAGCTGCGGGGTATTCCTCAGGTGGACGAGGACTTTAAAGGCTTCTTTTCCCCGAGGAGTTTGTAACCACAGGCTCTTTGTGCTGCCTGCTCCCAGAGGGAAGTTCTTCATCCGATTTCTCTTTCGTGCTGGAGTGTCTGGATGCTTTCTGCATGGCGACGGGTATGTTGCCACCGTGTCTGACGAGGCAGGCAGGCGTCGAGTCACATGTGGATTTAAGTCCGAGCCAGGCACTGGTTTTTGTCTGGTGTGAAATGTTTTAAAACGAGATCTTTCAAAGACCACAGCACGCTGCGCGGAGCCAAGTCCAGCTCCCACTGACAGCATTTGTAAGCTGCAGCCTCCAGACACACCACAAAGCACTTCCTCCTGGCCTAGGTGGAACCTGGACAATAAAAAAATCACGGATTTGATCTTTGCTCTGTATTGTGCAAGAGCTTGGCATAGAAATCAAATTCTTAGAGCATCACTTGGCTCTCCTAACAGAGAGATATGCTATCTCTCTAGGATATTGTCCTCCTCCTGCTGCAGAGTATTGCCTGAGTTAAAGAGGACAGAATGACTTCACTAGGCCATGTGGCCAAGATGCCACCTTCAGCCTCATTCTACCAGTTATCAGCGAGTTACAGCATGAGGCAGAGTCCTCTGGAATAAACAGCGTGTGCTTGTCAAATCCAAAGCACATCTGCCAGGAGGCAGAAATCAAAGCTGTCCCAGTAGCTGTCCTTCAGCCCCTCCTGGGCACTTAGGAGCACATGGGTAAACCCTCCCATCTTTTACCAGTGTGTTGAGCCATCTGTAAACAACGTTTGGCTGCAGGTTTTCAAAGGCTGGACCTGCCTGGTGGGTGTGGGGGAGTCTGACATGAACATGGAACAGAAACCTGAACAGAAAGGGGAGGAGGCCACAACAGCGGAAGCAAAAATATTTCAGGATTGAAAGCACGCCAAGGACAAAAAAAAAAAAAAAAAAAAACGCAAGAGATGTTTCTGCTCCAGTCTTTCCCTCTTGTTAAAGACCTTGACCTGATTGTGTGCCAGCAGCAGGGCCAGGGTCCTGGTGCTGGCAGCAGGGCGTGTGCAGCCAGCTGCAATAACCGGAGGGCTCCGTCGGCCGGAGGCAGCGGCGTGGTGCCAGCCCGGGCTGGTTCCTGCGATTACGTCCCCGCGGGTGTGCCGGTTAAAACCCCGCACGGGAGCGGCGCGGCGCCGGCAAACGTGAGCGGAGCCGGAGCGGTGGCGGTGTCAGCTGAGAAGAGATGGCCTCGGCAGGTCAAAAAAAGGCCACCTTGCCCTCCGGACTCGCCGTCTTCAAAACCATCCCCTACGCCTTCATGCTCCCGGAGATAGTGAGTATGCCGAGCTTTGTTCTGCGACAGCACCCCGCTAACGGCTCCAGCGAATCCAAAAATCAGGGAGCAGCCTCCAAAACGATCCCGAAGATGGCGTTAAGGGCAAATAACGTCTTGTCTTTTAGGTTATGCTCAATGCGCAGAGGCGGCCGTCGTGATGTGGTTTTTTGGAACAGCTTGAGGATAAGATACACTCCGGCTCTATCCCAGAGCCTGTGCAAGGGTCAGCGGTTGCCGTAGGGTTGGGAGAGGCTGGAGAGCTGCCAGCATCTCTGGGGCAGGAGCAGCTCTAGTTATCACATAGAAATTGCTTGAAAATCAAGGGAATTTGGTTCACTGGATTAAGTCTTTCCAAGGGCTTGAAGGCAATTGGGGGTGTCTTGTAACGTGACGTTCCATGAATCCTTCAATTGCTTCTGGGTCCAGAGGGCATCCGGTGGGACTGGCAGAGATAATCCCTGGCATACTCTGTATACCTCCCACACCCCGCGGGCACTACTGCTGCGGGTGGGCTTTGGCAGGAGCTGCCCATGCCGGTGGGCTCAGCTCCCCACCACAAACTGGAGGAGTTTCATCCACCAGAGCTGGAGCAGCACAGGGCAGCGTGAGCTTATCCAGATAATGTCGCGTGCTATTTGTGCACAGCAAATGTTTTAGGTGGATCCAGAGTGAGCGACTCGCTCTGGGCTGTTGTGTGGAGTCAGGAGGGGACTTCCTCATGCCACGATTTCACAAGCCCAGGAGATTAACAAGCGGGCAGGGCTGGGCCGAGGCGGCCATTCACCCTTTCCAGATAAAAGCATGTTTTCTGGCTTCTCCACCAAAATTCTCAGGATAAGTTTCCTTGCATCAAACATGGCAGCTAAACCTTTCCCTTTTGTAAGAAACGTTGTGCAGTATTTCCCAAGAGCATTCAGGAAAACTCGTGCCAGCTCATGGTGCTACTGTTGTGCTGGGATGCTCCGGGAGGCGAGGAAGGACTCAGGGAGAAGAAGGGGCTTTCCTGATCCCACACACATCAAAGGTACCTGTGTTTGTCCCCGGCAGCTCTGTGGGACCTGGGTGTGGATCCTCGTCGCTGCTACCTCTGTCTCCTTCCCGCTGCTGCAGGGATGGGTGATGTACGTGTCCCTCACCTCCTGCCTCATCTCCCTGCTGCTCCTCTTAAGCTACGTCTTCGGCTTTCACAAAAACAGCAAGAACTGGAAAGTGCTGGTAAGGAGGGGCTGGGACACCAGCAGATGTTGGTAGCAGCAGTGTGGGCACAAGATCACCATGGCTGGTGACAGGTTAGCCGGCCAGCTGCTGGCCCTTCTGCAAATAACCAGCTCTTTTTCCTCCTTTTGCCTTGACTGGAAACGTCGAGGGAAGCTGTGCTATGCCATGAGTGCTGCGTGGGCACAGGGGAGGGTTCAACATGGCAGGAGGGTTTGGTCCTGGCCCCTGGCTGAGTGCGTGTGTCCCGTTCGAGCACGCACATGTGCAGAGAATGGGTCTCATCCTCAGGGCATACCAGAGAAGGACAGTCCCAGGCAGGCTTTGATCCTCACTGCTCCCTTGTTTCACAGGACAGTTTGTACCACGGCGCCACGGCCATTCTGTACCTGAGCGCTGCTGTCTTGCAAGCCAACGCGACCATCCGCTCTGAGCTCGGCTCCAACTCGCCCCTTTACTACCAGCTCAACAGCGCCGCATCGGTGAGTTGGTCCAGAAAACCTCAGGCAGGCTGGAGCACCCGCAGTTCCCCGTGGGGAGATGCAAGAGCAAACATTAAAGCCGCAGCAGAGCCATCCCAAGCCCAGCAGGGTCACACTGGTCAGAGCTTCAGCTCCTCGTCTCTGTTGTGTCGTGCAGCCAGCATGTGCTCCTCAGGGTCCAGCAGCTCATGGACAGCCTTGCGTGGCTGTCTTCTGGGAAACGTGGGGGGCTTTGCCTCTTCTCTGGGGCTGGAGAGAGCTCTAGGCTGGGAGGTTTCCCCACATCGAGAGCACCAAGAGAAAACAGGGTGAGGCTCTCCCAGCTGACCCCAGCTTTTGCTCTTCTTCCTCTCATGCAGTTCTTCGCCTTCATCACAACCTTCCTGTACATCCTCCATGCCTTCAGCATCTACTACTAGTGAGCCCAGCAGCACCGGCTTCGTCTCTGCAGGATGAGGGCTTTCCCAGCGCCAAGGATGCAGCTGTGTTCCACCAGGGTGCCCCTGCCCCAGCCCTGTCACTCCCCCCGTGGGGGTGGCTGTTGCTTTTCCACTTCATTGAAGGAGGGATTTTCCAACAGCTGCGTTGTGTCTGTGTGCCTGTGGGGACATTTTGCACCTGGACCATGGGCTACGCAACGGGAGGGACCGGGTGCAGGCTCCGAGCCAGCCTCCCGCTCCGATGTTCCACCAAATATAGACAACCAAGGAAAGGGAAAAAAAGAAAATCACTGTTCCTTCAGCAAACAATTTCCTTTCTTGTATTAATTTCCTATCTCTGGTTCAGCTAGATCCCTCTCCAACCCATAAATCTGTAACGGTGCCACAATATTGTGTTCCTTGACTTTCAGATAATTTCATTTGGTATGTGCAGGACTTAGAATAAAGCGCCCGCTAACAGTGTCTGACCAGACTGACCACTACATAAGCTACGCTCGTTGAACAAGCTCATTTTACTCCGTAAGAGTTAAAAATTTCTTTTCAAAAACCAGGAAACGTTCACAGACTTAGAAAGCTCCAACGGACTTTTTAAACAAGTAAATCAGAGAAGTTCTGACAAACTTCTAGATACAGTACAAAACTACAGCATGAAAAGACTTATTCCTACAGCTATATACAGTAGTGGTTCTCCAGTGTCTCCTAATTGCCATCACAAAGTCTGCAGCCGCAGAGCGCGGTCCCTGGCAGTGCCATCACCTCGAACTGGCGCTACAGGAGTCCCTCCTCTCTGCATCTTCAGCACTGGAGTCACTGGTAGAGGGAGCTCTCTCTTCTCTCTGCCTCAGATAATCCTCTGCTTCTGGGAGAGCATAGGCTCGCAGCACGTCTAGGTAGAGAAGGTAGTCCTGGAGACAAGCCGGCAGTGGCAACTCCCGGATAAATCGGTCCGATCGGAGGCGTTCACTCGTTAAAAGGGACCGGATCTCAAGACGACAAAGATGAGACAGGGAAGGAATGGAGGCTGGAAAATGAAAAACCAAGGCAAACAGTGAACAGGACACCATGGGGTTACATCACTTGCCTACAGTTAACTGGTTTAGCTGGATCCCACCTGAACCCCCCTAGTCTCTGGCAGACAACGAGGCAGAGTTCTTGATAGTGAAGAGCTGTTGCCTGCTAGAATCAGCATTTTTAGAATTTCCTTGTAGGAGATAGAAAAGTTACCTTAAACTTCTAGAAATACAACGTCAAAGAATCATTCTATCCTTAATCAGAAAGTTTCATCTAACCAGCCTAGAAGAGCTACCTGCTTGGGGGGGTAGAGAGGCCCATGCCACCTTACAAGAAACGGAAGATTAAGTCTAGAAGTAAATCAAGCAACAAAATAACACACGGGAAAACACTTGTAGGATAAGTATTAAATGATAGCATGAGTCAGCTGGCACATGATGCCGAATGTTCTGACATGCTGTTAAATGATTTAAGACAACCACTGTGCCAAAAAAATACACAAACGCGTCTAAATGTGCATTTGCTCAAACACAAACTCCTGTATTATGGTTCAACTTATCCCGAGGCAGAACTCCAGCACCTCCAAACTCTCCTGGAGTCGATGTTCACAAGGAATCTGTCACATTAGCTGCAATCATTTCTGTGTGTCAGTACAGAAGGGTAAGCACGGCAGGCGTAACTCCGTGGGACCGCACGTTTTGTAAGTCTTCAGGCAAAGGTGTGGACACCAGATCCTGAACTTTTCCGCACGAACCCTTCATTTTTGATTTCCTGTGCTCGCTCACACGACTGGCTTTATGTCAGTTCAGGTGCTTGGTGTTTCTCAAGCAGGGCAACCTGCCTCTCAGCACAGCAGCTGGCCTGCTTGCCCTGACTGCTCTGGGATGAACAAGTGAAAAAGTGAAAACTTTCAAACTTTCCTCCCCACCCTCCTGCTTTTTCCTCTCCAGCTTTAGTTACTGGATACTATTACAGTACAAATATATTTACTAATAGCAAAGGAAACAAAGAAAGAACTTCATCTAAATCTCACCACTCTCACCTTTTTTTTTTTACTCCAAAAAAGATATCTTAATTAGCATTAAATATTCCTAAGGAAGTCTTATTAAATAACATAAACATCATTCAGATATTTTAAAAATTATTACAGCCCTTTTTAAAGAAGAATTTGCTTTGAAATGACTCACTAACACACATATCCGAGCGTAATTTCTCAGTAACATAATGCACAGGTCACACCTGAACGTTAAAGCTGCTTTTCTGATGGGTGAACACTGCCAGCACTAGTGTTTTCCTGGCCACTAAATTATTGAATCTTTTCAGCTGACCATGTTTTGATCACAGGAGTGACAAGGAACAGCTAGATTTGTAGGTATTTAATATGATGATTTGTATGGTTTACATTTTAATTCCTGTCAAATTCTTACAGAACAGGATAGACACGTCATTGGAAATACAAATTAACTTAAGGAAATAAAATCAGTGGGATATTGTCTAGAAAACATAACTGAGTAATATTGATTGTCTTCCCTTAGATCTACCAAGAGGCTGAACAAACCACTTCAGGAAGGCACAGTGCCAATTTACAGTCACTACCTGCATTTTATAGCACGTGCATTGATTTGAAGCGGACGAGAGAGCTTAAACTGAGGGCACCTACTAGAAACACGTCAACTATGAGCTGAACAACGTACTGAGTATCCAAATCTGCTTTGCCTGGTTGTTTGTTTAGGGCAACTGCTATTTCTGCTCCCCAGTTTCTGGGCAAGCAACATCTATCGACTCTTGAACCTTCTTTGCCCTCGTGCATTGGCACACAGAGCTGGTTCCCGCTCACAGACTGGAAGCTGGCATACAGAGACTTTTCTCCTAACTGTATTGCTTACCAAAGTGGCTCTTGGGAGTCCAAGTGGATTCCTCTTTGTAGTCTGAAAGGTCTTGCTCTACAGCTGGAGGAAGTCTCTTCCAGTTCGTGAACTCCAGGATGAAATTAAGAGCATTCTCACGCACAGAGAAAATCCTGCATAACAAAAACTCCCATCAAATACCATTTTACACAATAGCATAAATATAATAATGGAAACAACACATAGAAAGCGTTAACTATTTTCTAACAAATCCTTAGCAACCTACATCCTAAGCCCAGAAACAGAAAACCATTAAGGAGAAATCCAAAATAATTTTGACAGCACAAGCCTTTACTAATGTGATTTCATCTTGCTCCATCTCTTTTTAAAAGTGAGACTGTCAGAGAAAAATAGCTGCTCTGAAATTTAAACGCCTCAGGACTAGGCAGCATTAATTTCATTAGCTCTGCACTAATTTTTTGTTCCATTTCCACCTGAATTTTAAAAAAAGAAGTCAAGACACCAGAGCACTATAAGCATTACCAGTATGTTTGAGGAAAAAATGCACATATATTCAGATACTTGTTTGTTTGTTTAAAACAAAACCTCACAAAACTTCTAAGTGTTTCAAACTCTCCTTCTACCAGAGATTGCATTTGCATGTATTCAGAAACCAGTACGCTTTACATTTCAAATCTTTAGCATGTGTGAGGAACTTTTAACAATAGCTTAATTGAATAAAGTGCAGGAGAATTAAGTAACAGCAGGTAAACCAACTGTTTTATTATCGTGCATAATGAAGGGACACAGAATTTCACAGAACAGCTTCTCAGCTAGATGTGTGCAATCCTGAATTTTCATCTGAGGGGAAAGCTAAGTGCTCTAAACACACAAAAATACCAGACTAAAGTTTTTTAACATGCTTGCTTTCTGCAAGAGATTCGTGTCAGAATTGTGTCTTTTCTAGTTTTTATTATTTCATTTTTCATATTTGACTGACCTTTCATACACTCACCAAAAGCCATACAGGAGAGAGATCCGATTGCCCCGCTTGCTTTAAGAGGGTGGTGGTTTTACTTTTCCCACTGGTAATTAAAATTGTCAGAGCTCTAGACTGACCAGTTTATGACTGATTACAGAGTTGTTTTGCACAACAAGCCAGAGACAGTCAATGAACCATATGTGTAAATGTCATTTGCTGTCTACTACCCTCCTGTTATCTTCCAGGACAGAATAGTTAATATTGAAGTTAAACTTACAAAAACATCAGTTTTGTAGCTCGTGATGTGGTATGTATTATTTTAATAAGTGGATATTTAAACAAAGGAAGTAATTGGTATAAAAGCGTTTGTCGATGATGTAACAAAATATCAAAAGCATCATATATGATATACATGGACAGTGAGATTTGTCCAGTCACTGAATTGCAACCTTGTAGTGTGTTTACTTTTGCAGTCTCTTAGTCTTCTACAAATAAATACGAGCTACAGAAGCACAGATATACCATGCTGTACATATCCTCCTCTAATTACTGTTCTGAAAGCCATGATTAACAGAATCTCACTAATCTCTTAATCACGATTAACAGAATCTCACTAAGTCATAAATGAATGCATTTAAAACTACCAGTGATATCTTACCCATGATATCTTTACAATATCTGAAATATAAATCAGTATTTAAGTAAATCTTAAAATCCTACTCCTTTCTTACATTAAGTAATGCACGTAGTGAGTTTAAACATCTCACATTATATTGTTGACAGCTGAGACATACAGTAGTAAAGTCTAAGTGTCATCTTCACGGACAAGGAAAAACAAATACTGCATAATTTTAAATAGAAGTTTATATTTAATTAGGCACTACAGAAATAAAACATCACCAAGCAGTTATTTGTATGTGGAAAAACCTAAAAAAAACTCCCAAAACCCACAACAACAAACAACAGGCTGGAATTTTCACCATATTATTTTGTTTAACACAATCTCCTACTGCATCCGTTTCCTCTCCTCCTAGCCTTGGCCCAGCTCCACTTTACGTTTGTTTCCCTGACCCCTTTCTCAGTATCTGAAATTCTTCTTACCATTGCTGCATTATATATACACACACAATCTGCAGCTA